ACTTCATCATTCCACCATGCATCTCTTCTTTTACTACTGCCTCTTTTTATTGTTCCACACACTTCTTCCGCTGCACTTACCATTCCATCCCTAAGGTTCTGCCATGTTCTTTCTACATATTCTTTTCTGCCATCGATGGTGTCAAGCTTTTCGGCTACCCTCGCATGATATTTGTCCCTAGTATCCGCTTCCTGAAGCTTCCAGCTTCGGATGCGACGGACCGACTGTGGTTCTGTTACTGCCGTCCGGTAGCGCCAACCCGCGAACAGACCCCTAAATCTAGTAATCACTAGATAGTGATCCGTTCCCAGGTCAGCACCCCTGAACACTCGCGTATCCATCACCTATTTTCGCAGTCGGTCATCCACCAGGAACAAATCGATCATACTTCTCTCATTATTTCGTTCTCTAGTATACATATGGATTTTCTTGTGATTAAACATAGTGTTTGTCACAAGAAGACCCTTTTTCTTGCACACCGCCAGTATAAGATTGCCAGCATCATTAACCCTTTTATCGCCAAACTTTCCAAGTACCGACTCGTACCCTGGTCGAGCGGTACCAACCCATCCATTCAAATCACCACATACAACAATTCTTTCGTTTCCCCTAGCCAAATCTAGAACTTCTCTTACATTCTCCCAAAACTCCTCCAGCTCAGCCCTGGACGACGAAGCTACCGGCGCATAAACAGCCAAAAGGAATAACTTCGTCAGTCCCAATTTAAAGCGAACCCAGAGAAGTATTGAGTTCACAACCTTATATTCAGTCATAACATCGACCAACCGAGAAGACAGCAGCCCCGCCAGGGAGCTCTTCAGTACCACTGCCCTTCCGTTTGGTCTCCGACATACACACGACATCTAAATCTCTTTCTTTCATTATTTCGATCAACTCATTCGTCTTATCTCTCATGCCTCCTCTAACATTCCACGTGCCAACTCTGCACTCTGTCCTCCACCTTCCGCCGTGTCGGGTTGTGCGTGACGGGTGGCGGTCCCCATCGCCGCATATAATTATTGTGTTGTTATGATAATTCTAAAAACACTACGTCCTAAGTATTTAAAGCTAAATTTTAAAGCTTTTTGTTTAAGTGTATTCTTGTAAATTTAGAGATAATAAATTATTTTGACATGATAACAAACCTACAAAAACAACCAATTAAAAAAGTCATACTTACTTACCCGTTTCCTAGGAAGTCACAAAACGGTAGTTTCGTAAGTTCAATTGTACAAAAATAAACTTTTTTTAACAATCAATTACTTGTCCATTGTTATCAAATCATAAATCAAAATTACTTGTATTCAAATGTAGTTGGTAAGTAAGTGTAAAAAGAAAAGTATCGATAAACAATAATTGCACCTTGTGGCATTTTTACTAATTTTATTATTTTCGCTATTTTGGAATTTGGAAGTTTGGCTTTCAATTCACCGCAGTTCTTCCGGAATACAGGTGCGTTTCACTGCTTACGCGCATTGCATCAAGTGATTTATTTTTCGTAAGATAAATACAATTAGTCCAACAATATTTTTACGGTGAAATAGACACTTATTAGGTAATTGGCTTTGTGTGTGCAAATAGTGTTTTTAAGTACGTTTATTTTTATTATTATATATTAGCCGATTAGAGAGTTTTACTGCCACTGGGTACTGCAAAAAATGTCTTAAGACCAACGTTTCCTATCAAATGTGTTTTGTACAGATGAAAGCACGTTTACTCGAAACGGCATATGGAACCGACAAACCATGCGTCACTGGAGCCATACGGATCCCCATTTATTTAGGGAATCAGCTCATCAATACCGATTTTCCATTAGTGTTTGGACAAGCATTCACGGAGATCAAATAATTGGCCCAATTTTTATTGACGGAAACCTGAATGCACAGATGTTTCTCAATATTCTTACCGGCTTCATAACAGAATATTTAGAAGGATTGTGTGTGGCAACTTACGAGCGGGTATGGTTCCAGTTAGATGGAGCTCCTCCACACTCCGTACTCCTCTCAAGAGAGCGGCTTAACACAATGTTCGGCGAACAATGGATAGGGCGCTATGGCACTCGTAAGTGGCCAGCTCGGTCGCCTGACCTCACTGCTCTAGACTTTTTTTTATGGGGCTTTATTAAAAATGAGCTGTACTCAAAGGTCTCCGAAACTGAAGATGAACTGCGCAATCGTTTTGTTGCCGACTTTGACCAATTTAAAGCCCTGGCTCTGGATCCTGAACGAGATTTGTTGAGCAGGCTTCAGGACAACATTATGCGGCGATGTAACTTGTGCATTCGAAAACGTGGCGGACATTTTGAAAATTTTAAAATTTAGAGTTCCATTAAATTTTGCAACTAATATGCAATAATATTTATTTCGTTCTGTTCAATTTTCGCGAAATAAAAAAATGGCGGTAAAAATACCTAAACAGTTTAGTAAGTAAGTTTTTATTTCGTCGCACATTGTCAAACGAGCCAAAGGCCGTACCCACAATAACGTTGCCTGTCGCCAACCGCCATGCCACCCGCGTGCAACGTTGGCACTCTTCCAAGGGGTCAAGGTACGTAGTCTAAAGAGAGTGTTTACTTTTACTGAATTTATTTTAATGTTTATTTTGTTTGAAAATTTCACTTTCTTTTTTACAGGTTTTAATTTAATATTTAATTTTCTACACTTCTATGGACTAGTATTACTTGTGGTTTCATTTATTGCAGACAATGTAGATTCCTCACTGTATATAAGTATATATATGTTATACTTACATCATTTCCCTTGAATTAGAAGAAAATTTATTTACTGGCAACCCTTGATGTCGTCATCGTCATAGAACGCAGCCCACAGACTAAATCGGCCCCATCGGCCCCAAGCAATTTATACTATCCCGTAGAGAGAGAATAAACGAAGAATTGAAATCTCGTTTAATGATTAGTGAAGAATTTTTTGTGAATTTTCTTTGTTTGTGAAAATTTCTATAAAATAAATGATTTTTTTATGATATACAACCATGGGTGTGATTTGCTCGACTCATATCATGTACCAACTTATAAAAATGTTTGCAATAATAAACATGTAATCGTATGTAAGTTTAGCTGATTGTAAACAGTTCCCTAAAAATTCTTGCCCGTTCTTTTTTAGGGTTACAGACTTTGAACGGGATGAAAAAATATTGTTACGCGCCACTATTAATGTCTTGTACATGGCAACACTAGTTACACTAGCGCCCCCTAGTGTCGAGTAAATGAAAGTATTGCGCGCCACTATTAATGTCTTGTACATGGCAACACTAGTTACACTAGCGCCCTCTAGTGTCGAGTAGCAGAACTAGGAGAGTCGAGATCCTTCTTGAAATTTCGTGACCGATATGTACTCGAACATTCTAGATGTCGCTACAGTAGAAGGTTCTGGAAACTATCTGAGGCCCTATATAAGGCCGGTATAGACCACGACCGGGGCAGTATTGAATTGGCGATACAAGAGAATACTTCGAAACGAAATAACAGCGAACTAAAGTGATTGTGTCTTATTATTAGTGTGATTTTAGATTGTAATTAGTGTATGTGTATTTAAAGTGTTAATTTTGGTAATTCAATCGGCAGTTCTCCCTCTACGACGGCAAGGACTACTCTATTGTACGTACTTCTTCTACGTACTATCCTTCATAGGCTGACGTGCCATAGATGTTCAAGTGCTTCGAAAGTGATAATATAAATCTCAGGGCTTTTTATCCGCTTAGGTGCCTTGTGAGATGATCATCAAGTGTCTACTGGATAATCTGTCGTCTAAATTTCCCACGAACTTTTCAATGTTGCGCATCAGCCTATTGTGAAGAGTTTGATTTAAAAATACAATTCAGACTAGACTGTATGTTTTATGACTTTTGCCCACAAAATTATCTGTGATATTTTTTAATTAAGATTTTGGTTTGGATGCTTGCTCTTTAAGCCATGTCTTCATTTATCTGAATATCAAGTGATAATTATCCTTTAAAGTACTGCTTACCAATATGTTGATGCGTCACATTTCATAGTTTTGAGAGATTTTGTCGGCAACTTGAGCTTATAGCTACGAAGAAATCGAAAATGAGATTTACGCTTTGATTGACGAACACGGTACGATAAGAAAATGAGATCGTGGTACGAAAAGGAAGCTGTTATTTGTCCATGATTCGCGATGTTATTTAAAGATGAAACTAATGATAAGGTCAATTAAAGACGGAGTACAGTTGGGAAAATGATGGGTGGCAGAGAGTGGTAATATTTGTAGATTATTATTTCAGAACACATTAGACTTCAGCTTATATGCACGTGAATCGTTATTAAGTAAGCAAGTGTTGAAATCTCCTATCACGATCACATGACCTATATATAGGAGAGAAGTCCCTAAGTAGAATTTCAAATACATCAAAATAATTGGTTTGTATATTAGGACTATATATCACACCAAGAAGGAATAAAATGAACCATGAAGAAATTTTGTATGGTGAAGTTAACCTCAAGAAAAAGGTACTCAGCAGATTCAGAACAAGTTGACGGGGAAGCAAAGATTTGTTTGTAAGGGATTTCATTACGCATCAAAACGTAAACAGGAAGCAAAAGCAAGAAGAGAAAACTCGAAAAAAGTTCCAGATATAAGAAGTGCATCGATTAGATTACTGCATTGACTTATAAGAGCATATATGCTCTTATAACCTTAGGCGGCTACACAAGCAGACAGCTTCGGCACCTTAATATACTATCGCCAACTGCCTGCTGACTCAAGTTTCCTTCAAAATCTCTCAAAAACTACGCAGTGTGACGCATCAACATATTGTGAAGCAGTGTAGTATAAAGGAAAATCTATAAAAATATAGATTCCGAGTGAAATAAAGACATGGCTCAAAGAACAAGCATCCAAGCCAAAAATATTAATAAAACGGAAAGGAAATGTAAAATAGTATATAGCTACATAGTAATGTTTATTTTATTCAATTTTATTCTTTAAATTTGTTTCATTTAAAAATGTTAGTTTTTAAACATGGTGGTGAAACTTCGTGATGCAGCTCTAGCGTACAAAACTCTCAATGGAATTGTTTGTATATACAAACCTCCAGGTGTACCTGTTCGACGAGTGCAACAAACGATTATAACTAATCTTTGCAGAGGTTAGAGGTGTTTGCTTCTTATGTTAAAAAATTCTGAAAAACATTTTTAACTTTTATACTGTTTTCTCGCAATAAAAAATACTGATTTAATTTTTTACAGATTTAAATGCGTTACCCGACAGACCTCAAGAGAAAAGAATTGAAATAGTAGGCGCGACCAATGCCCCCATGACTGTTAAGTTGGTTCCCAATTATGCTGATGATCCACTGATCTGTGGTCCAAGATATATTCAAGATGACTTTAGGTGCAGTTGGGCTACACATCTGGGATTATTTACAAGTGGAGTTTTGTGTAAGAACATTATAATATATAGCAAATGAAACATAAAAACTTGTGTATTTAATACAACTATTTTAACATAATTAGGAGCTTTTTAAATATTATTACTATGCATCAAAGTAATATTTTATTGCATTTCATATTATGTTTAAATAGTTTTTAAAGTTAAACCAAGAAGTTTTTTCCAGTACTAGGCATCAATGATGGTACAAGGCTAACATACCACATTAATGTTGCTAGACCAACCAGAGCATATAAGGTTCATGGCCAATTAGGAAAAGCAACTGATACCTATTTCTGGAATGGAAAGACAGTGGAGCGATCTACATTTAGCCATGTAACAAGAGAAAAGATTGATAGAATTGTGGCACATATGCAATTGGCACATCAGAAAACTATGTTTGAGTGAGTAAATACTTTCAATTAATAATCTGATAGTTTACCAATATTGGCTTACTGTATTAGCTTTTGTAAAAAGTGAACATTACTTTTAATAGCATTTGTTTATAAAATATGTAGTTTTCTTTTATAGAATGAAGGTGATAAACAAGTGCACCTGATGGTAAGTGGATGCTGTGGTCCATAAACACCTACATTTATCCTCGATTAAGAATGAAAATGCAGATGCATTGTCACCCCTGAGGATTAAGATGGAATGCTTTGTTTCCAATAAGAAGGGTCTCCAGTTCTCTACACTAAATATATGAAACACAGCAGCGAATGCTGCTATTTTACGCTGATATTCTGTGAGAGTTTGGTCATACCTTGGTCGAGCCGACCCATTCTGCTACAATCATAATTTAGGTGCAGTGTGGCTGTGCCACGTAAAATTATTAGTAATAATAATGTCCTCCAGACCGAATATCGATCATGGCGGCCAATCTCAACAGAGACTAGCCATCGGCGCAGGACAGGATTATAGTGCCCAAGTGTATGCGCAAGCACAGGTGCACTCTCTATTCTCTCACTCTCAAAGTCTGGTGGGACGGTAAACCGACACGACGGGAGAGACGAAAGAATTGCTTGATGGAAAAACTCAATAACTGATTTTTTTTGCCTGATCCGGGATTCGAACCCAGGACCTCATGATCAGCAGTCGCACCACTACAACCACTAGACCAACGAGGCAGTCAAAAATTATAAGTATTCAGTAATTGACTTTTGTATAAACCTTCCTCTATCAATTAAATAGATCATGAACTCCTCTTCCTGCTACTATATGGTGGCCTCTAATTACTATATATTATGCATGAGATCGATATATCAAGACGTAACTAATAACGTTATGTTATCAAATATCATATCATATCGATAAACCTAAGAACATAACCGTTATCACATATCCAACCAAAACTCAAAATCAACTAACCAACGTACGAAACGTAAAACGCAAACTGTAGCGATATGCCAAAAACCGAAACGGCCCAAAACCAAAACTAACCGATGTCCCTTGATATTCGTTTTTTTTTTTAGTTCTTTTTTTTTAAATACCTTACCAGAACACTAAGATTTTCTCCTGTGTCGTGGAGGCAGTTTACAAACATAAATTGCACAAGGACAAACATCCAGACCCGGAACAATTATTTGTAGGCCATACAAATACTTGTTCCGTGCGGGATTCGAACCCGCGGCCCCCAGTGCCGTCAAAAAAGCCGTTGTTTCTCGTTCTAGCGACAGTATCATAAATACGTATGAAAGAGATGAAGCGAATATGGATTTCGTTGCGATGTTTTGGTTGTTATCATAAAACGGTGCACGTAGTGAAATATTATTATAAGATTCTTAACAATAAGGTCGAATTTTAAATGGTTAAAATTGCCAAATTTTTTAAGTTTGTGTAGTTGTGAGAGTTGTCAGATTTAAATAATCTTTAGGACATTAGGCACTAGACTTAGATTTGTTTCATCACAGTATATTTGGTTTAGGCAACTTTTGTTTATGTGAAAGTTATAATTTGATTTTTTTTTCAAACATAACAATTACGCACTTGACATTGGTGGCGTGTGCCGTGCACTATGAAACTATCTGTAAAATTATTAATTTTTGGCGTTGCGTTTGTGCATTTATTTGTAATATTTGTTTGCATTTTGTACATTTGTTTTACAATTTTCCTGTCAGTCCTAAGCCTAGTTAAGTACATTAAGGTAAATCGCCAACTTAAGCCCTTAACAGTGGTTGAAATGCCTAAATCTAGGATATTTAAGTAAAAAAATCTCAATAACTGTTCATTTAATCCACAAAGAAAAAATACAGGGTAACAGAAGAGGATTTGGTAAATGTTTTTAATTTAACAAAATTGTATTTTTGTCAACCCCTTATTAGAAAAAAAATCCCCAAAGAGTACCTATCTTTGTCATATTTTGCAAAATTTCTCCAAAACAGCACAAGCTTTTTAAATAGTTCTTACACTAAAAAAAAGGTCTTAAAAATATTAATATTTTTAATTGAGAGTTTTATTTTTATTACCCGTTTTATAAGAGAATATATCATTTTTCCCTGAAATTGAATTCATTTACGCGAGCGCGCATGCTCCGTCGCCATGTAAGCTCTGTCACAGTCCGTTTTCGGACATCGTCGAGGGTGGACCGCACGTCGGTGTTGGAGCGACTTCGTTCAAATATATATTAGTTTTTTATAAGTTTATACTCAATTATAAATATTTTTATGCCTAGAAATACTTAATTTAGTTAATCTCTGTACACTGGTAACTGTAAATATTATTTTCTAAATAAATGAATTTTTAAAGTGCCCAAAGAAGAAGAAATTTTCGCGGCGACGTTTGTTAGTGAAATTGAAAAATGCAAATTTATATAATTTAGATGTGGAACGACGAACATGCTCTCGTTACTTAGATTTCGATAGTTTTTAATACCTATGTAATTTTATTGTTGCATATTTTTATTAATTAGTTGATACTGAATTTTATAATTATGTATTACAATAAAACGCTGTTTTTATGAGTATGACTTTATAAAATATTATTGGGGAGGGAAATAAAGATACAGATACTTACATTTAGGTACACTGTTATCAAATTAAATCAAACGATTTAAATAAATAATAAAATAGTACTTCCCTAAGTATAAATAACTATATAAAGACATTCTTGGGTTTATGGTTTTTTTTATGTTACACAAACTATCATCTAAAAATGTAAAAATTTTAAATTGGAGAGGCGTTTCTCTACGTGATAAAGTTAGAAATGAAGATATTCGCAGTTGAACCAGAGTAACTGACATTAAACGGAATATTAAAGTGAAATGGCAATGGGCTAGCTATATAACTTGGAAAACCGATAAAAAATAGGAAGAAAGGTTCTCGAGTGGCAACCTCGTATAGATAAGCGAAGTAGTACTCAACCTTTATTCCTCTTTACGTATTCTTATACGCTTTTCTTCACACATACACACACACACACACACACACACACACAAATAGGTCACAAATAATACTTACCTAGTACTACGAGTATTAGGCAAGAGTGAATAGGTTTTTGTTAAGTCAGTGCAATTCACCATCTTAGGCTACATAACCAGCGATAGAATTGTAGTTGCTTTACTACTTGCTGGGTAAAAATAGTAAAAAAAATTACCCTGTGAAAGTTTGCATTTAGATATAACTTTTCTAACCAACCATAAAAATAAGATAAGAATATATATATAAGTATAAAGGTTACCTCACACGGGACAGTAGTAATATAATATTATTTCTTCCATTATCTATGCATGAAAACTTTTAAAATCTCTCAATCCCGAGGTATATGCATTTTAAGAGGCTGAATGGAGCCACATTGATATGCATGGGGATCGTTTTGTAATTTCACGTCGTTATCGAAAAAAATTGTACGTATTTCAGGTGGCGGTTTGTAAAACACGATTCCACAAAAGTTCACTCAATAGAAAATAATTGCAAAGTTGCTTCTGAAAATACTTAAATATTCAACGTCAATTTTTTCTTACGTGGTAGAGCCATGCTGCAGCTATATTAGTAGTAGGTATAGTTGTAGCACGAATGGGTCGGCTCGACCGGGGAAGGGCCACGCTCTCACAGAATACCATGTAAAATAGCAGTTTAAGCCTGCTGTGTTTCGTATGGTGAGTGTAGAGAACCGGAGAACCTTTTTACTGGAAACGAGGCATTACATCTTAGTCCTCACGGGTGACAACGCATCTACATTTTGATACGTAATCGAGAATAGATGATAATTCATAATTCATAATTCATTTATTGCATGTCACAAAGTATAAAGTTGTTACAATATGTCTACAGAGCATGTGACAACCCTGTACGGGCGTAGCATATTAAGATCTATTTTAATTGTTAATTAATATGAAATTAAATTAAATTACAATTTATGTATATGTCTATGGGCCGTAGCAACCACTTACCATCAGGTGGACTGTGTGCTCGTTTGTCACCCTTATTCTATTAAAAAAAAACTTTCTGAGATTTCAGTAAAATAATGTTAAGTATTGTTAGCACTCGTACAATTATGCGTCTCATGTTAATAAAGATATTGGGCTATTTTGATTTTTAATAAAGTGATTTTACTTTATAGGTTAAATAATTTATTTACCCTTTTATATCAAGAACCGTTTTTTTTCTGTCACTCCTATTGCATTTGACAGTGTTTGCTGAAATTTAGCATCTTTAGATGGATCAGAATCGCGCGCTGATCCGGCTGTTAGATATTGCAAAAATAATCGAAAATATTTATTTTTACTTTCATGCCGAAGACTACCTTGTTTTATTTTATTACGGTCAAATAATATTTATTAGGTTATAAAGCAAGTATTTACAAATGTTTACATTATTCTGTTATTCTATTGTTTATAGTTATTATCACATCTTAGCTTTACACCAAGAATTACATTAGAAATTCTTGATGGGATACGATGTAACGCGCATACTTTATTTTCATCAAGAACTATATATATATATTTGTTTTTTTTGTACCAGTAGAGATCCAATACAATCTTAAAAAAGTTCAATGAATTAAAAACTGCCAATAATTATATAATTTCAAGTCAGTGTTTTACATTTAAAGATCAGTTATAAAGAGCCAAAGTTATTATTTTCATATGGATTAATTTAATTCGAGACTAAAATAAATGTGAAAGGGCTTTTATCTGCAATAATAATTTTCATCAAAAATGACATAGACTTATAAAAGTCATATACACGGTCAATCATACTGAAGATTGTCAATTGTACTAAAAAATATTTAAAAGACTATTTCCAGTATAATGACCCGAATATCATCATTAATATTTGACTGGCACACTTAAAAGTTTTATCCCATGGCTAAATAATTGACTAAATGATTGACTTTATTATGTTAAGGTCATGCTTTTCTATAAAAAGTTGCAATAAATTTTAAATCACGGACATATTGGTTTGTTTTACTTTTCACCTAATTAGAGAAAAACAAGATGGACTGATCTAAAAGTTTACTTTCTTGTGTAAAAAGTGCTATTTAGAATTTAATGCAAATGATAATTAAAGTTTCTATTTAAATAAGTGTAACATAGCGGGTATTATATTCAATGGTAGCGGCCATCCATATTTGCAAAGCCAGCATCATTTTCTGTACAGAAACCGGCAAAGTGTTGCTCAAGGCACTATAAACAAAGCAGTTGATAAAATGTTACACCCATAACTGTTAACAAAAACTGTTTCCGCAAATGGTCTTATAGATAATAATATCTATTTCGCCGTGTTAGGTGCAGGAGCTATTATTAGAAGGAGAAGAGGTAAAATTTTGTTTTATAAATGCGCAATCAATATTATTTTGTCTGCAATTGAGCATAAAATAAAAAATAACTTCAGCCAAAGAGCATAACTGGCATTATACTCAGGCCCATCAACTGGCATGGAAAAAAATAATTTTACCAGGTTTCAAAAATCCAATCAAAATTCAAAAAAACATAAATATTAAAATCAAAAAATGTATATATGTATGTCTATTCATACATATAATGATTTATGGCCGCTTAGTAACTGACGGTGACTCAGTATAACATCCTACAGTCACGCCGAAACTAAGAGGAGAGAATCACTGTAGAAAAGGTAATAATTTATTGCGGAAATTTTGTGATAAAATTAAAAAATTATAAACTTATCCAAGTTAATCTAACTTATCCTTATGCGTTACAAAAAAAACCAAGACTAAATAGTGAGATGGCGTAAGTTTTTAAGAAGACAACATAAATAAACAAAAAAATAAATTTCATAAAAGTTTAGTATTTAATTGATTATAATATACCGCTGACACTTAATCACGCTTTTCGAAACCACGCCAGTTGTAAACAATACTTGTGTGAAAAGACAAAATCTTCTTTTCAAATTTCCGCCGAGTTACTTAAAGTAGAAGGCCAAATAGGTCACGAGTCAATTTTAATTTTTATATATTTGTTATTTTTATTACAGTAATACTTATTTACAATTTTACATAATACTTAATTTTATCTACAATATTAAAAACTACGATAATAAAAAAAAAACTAAAACTAGAAACTTAATTATCATATAGTCCTACTCCCCGCGGTATCGTGCCAAGAACGCTGGCTGCGTTTCCCCGCTGAATGGCTATACTTAGCCTTTGAGCGAGGAAAGAACCAGCCCTCTTATCACCAGCAGCAACGACCAGCCGCGGATGGAGTTCCTTTAGGAACTTCACCGCACGTGGACCCCACGGACCGATAGTCTCTACAGCAAATGGCACAAATATGTAGTCATCTCTCAGAGACTCATATTTGCGCCACTTACTCAGTTCAGCTGCCTCTGATGCCGCCCCGGCTTTAAACGAGGTACCCCTGAGATGAGAGGCCGCCAGAGTGTCTACGCAAGTAGCATCCCACACTAGGGCTTTACCTCTCTCCCAAGGGACCAATGTCATACCGTCTGGTCTCTTGCCATCGTCTCTAAATATTCCACAAGGCTCTAAAACCGAGGGAACATTTATAGAGGCAAGAACCCTTCGGATGACATCGTTCAAAGAACTGTGTCGTGAAAACCTACCAGCGCTTTTCTTACATGAAAGTCCGTGGAGCCCAAACTTGTCGACGCTGTTACCACAGGGGCATTGATGGGGTTGACAAATCGCTGCTCCTAGTCGGATTCCTACGGCAATACGCAAGCTTTCCCTATCAAGTAATGTGCCGAGATTACTTGATGGTAAAGCGTGTAACCAGTGACTAGATTCCTTAGTCGAAACAGCTAGAAGGCGTGCCTTATCTTGGTCACTATGGAAATTATGAAACAAATCCTTCTGCACGCCCTGTACCAACGGAATATCCCACTGTTTTTGTTGGTTAACTTCCAGTGGAATATTTTCACCAGGACAGAGCGTTTGCCATGTCTGCCCTGCCTCCGTAGCAAAGCATAGGTCTACTTTATTATTTAAAATTATGTTACATAAGTCACTGACACTATGCACGGAAGCAAGGAAAGCAGGCAATGCAACGCTAGAAAGATTTCTCACACCAATGCCACCAAATTTTATAGGTAAAGTAGCTTGAGTCCAGGCTGTTGTATTTAAAGTTAAATTTAGAATTTTTTCTATAGCAATTTTAAGATTTTTATCAATATCTTGTAAAATATCCGAACATTTCCAGACTGGACTCGAGCGGAGTAAGTATGTAAATCTAGGTACAAGAAGACAATATTTTAAAATAGTAAGAGCTATGTGGGGGTTTAATTTTAATTAAATATATTTTATATGAAGTGATCTTGACTACGTTTCATCAATTAACCATTGGTAAAAATTAAAACAGCAATTTTACGATTGTGTTTACAAAAAACATTATTAGTTGAACCTTGCAGCTTGTTCATTATGTTTATTATAAATACCTATAAATGTATATATTATTAATAAATAGTTCCCATAATATTTTGAATTATTTTTTATTTTGCACTATCTGCAATGTTCTATGCTCTATAGAAAATGTGGCGTATGACATGACTGACAATCTTTCGAACGTTTTATCTAGGTACAAAGATGTTTTACGTTTTCGTCGCCTCCACATGATATTTTTGTCAGCATATTGTACCCTTCTATATCTAAAACGAATATAAATATTGCTACAAAGTAATAGGCTATACAAGTCCCTCTACTGGGCACGGGACTCTTTTTTTATTTCTGAGAGGGTTTTAGGGCAAGGAAATTCCCGCCATGCTTCCCCAATGCGTGTTGACGAAAATTGCAATTACAAATTTCATTCGTGCTGTCGGGGATCAAACCCGGGAAAATTACGAACGCTTTGACCCAGATCTATTAATACGATGCAAATAAATACGATTTAACATATATAATAAAAAACTGTTACGTACTTGAAACTTGAACAATTGATAGCTCGTGACGCCTACCGGACAAAGCTACAGCACAATGTGATTGAAGATCCGTAACCGCGACATAATTCTCAGTGATGCGCAAGCATAACAGGCAGTATGTCACTTATATAATTGTCATCTCTGCAGTCTATTAATCTTTGCACTTTTATAAGAAATGCAGAACGTAGTTGCTAGACGGTGTTGACATCGGCTAAAATCTCTGCGATCGCCGTTTCGTCAAGGTCATTCAGGATAGTTAAAGCCTTAAATAATCATTATAAAAAATAATGATTATTAATATAATACTTAATAATAAATAAACTATGTACCTATAAGAATTTTATATATATAAATTATGTTTACTACTTATGAATACAGTTTAATTATAGACTTCGAAATCAAACTCTGATCCTACGTCTCACTTCAAAAAAATATGGGTATAAACATTATAGACATAAATGAGAATAGAAAGAATGTAATTTTAGACATTTATAATACTATATTACTGCATAACAATCATAAATGTCTAAATATTACATCTAAGATTATATTAGAGCCTCTGACTTCTAATCTAAAATAATCGAAGTAATTCGTAAAATAAATGTTGCACTCGTTCTACAGTTTTCAGGCATTGATGAGCTACTCTGAAAAATAATTAGGTAACGAAACGAGGAAAGTTTCTTCTGCGCTTTTATAGATGGCGTAGGGATTATAAGTTACTGAAAATTACACTAGAGGGCGCTATCACCTAAGTTCAGAATTATTTCATACATATTTCAATAAAATTAAAAGGAAATCAATTTAATTTAAATATTATGTAACTAAATTGTTTTTGTTTTAAGTAAATATTTCTTATGTCGGTTTGAGAAAACCATGGTGTGAATTGCTTCCTTAATTTACAAAGAATTATTCTATATATATATATATATACCGGCGTATTTAAAAACTTTGCTAGCATGATTTAGGCTTCGGTATAAATAATAAATACCCACAGTGGCGCCATCTTTTAATAGATTATGTAAAAATATAGGGAAAAATAGTACTTTTACTGTGAGGTGGCACTAGCATCAACGTAAAGCAAGCTACTGAGGACTTTCATACCCTTGATTTTAGGTTATCTTTCGGTTGTAAACCATTATTACTGGTATCGCTGTTTGAAAACGGTTTTCAATAACGATATGAAAACTAAATATCAGTTATGTAACTGTTGCAGCCAAAATCTGAAAACGCCCATGCTTACTATATATACACTTTTAATTAAATCACCCATTATCCATAGAAATAAGAGATACTATATTAGTAGTGAGTAAATGTGTGATGAAAAAGGGATTAAATTAGTTTAGATTTTTAAAATAGTTGTTAAAATAGTAAAAATAGTTAATGAAGGTGTATTTCTAAATAGATGGGCTCTTCAGTAGAATTATGGTTTAGAATTAAAGAATTAAAAATTTAAAAAACAAAGTAAAAGATATTTTGTATTTATTTTACACTTCCAAATTTGTTTAATTATTATATACCTTGTTACATCAACATTCTTTCTTTTGTAGATTATCTGGCCTTCACATGGACTCTCAGGCCACATATGAAGTAGCTTCGCAGGGATTAATTAGGCCTGCCAATAGTAAACTTCCAGTGATATATGGATTAAAGTGTGTCCATTTTGATCCTCCAAACTTCACATTAGGTATGTCTATATTTTTTCTTACATTACATTACTAGCATATGCCTGCAACTTTGTTTACATCATACAGGGGACCCCCGGTAATCTGGTCCCTGGCTAATCCATCAGCTATTGTAATCCTAAATGACTTTAACATGTAAGTACAATCAAGTCATGTTATGAATCTGCCACGGGGGAGATGCCCTTCACAAATACATGGACAAACATATTGCAATTAGTTCGCACCACTACAAATCTAACTTGACACATATTGTCCGAGTTTAAATTGACTATGGTAGCGGCCTAGAGAGCATTCATTATTTACTGTTTAGGTATTCATTGCGCATCACATGACTTTTTTATTATTCATTATTTTATATTTGATATGTAATTTTTCGGATTACACGTTATTGACTCTACTACACTACTCACCTCTGAGGACTAAGATGGAATGCCTCGTATCCAGTAGGTCTCTGGTTCTCTAGACTTATCATAAAAAAAACATCAGCATTGAGCTGCTGTTTCATGCTGGTATTCTGTGAGAGTGTGGTCCTTCCCAGGTCGAGCCGACCAATTCCTGATACAAGCAAAATATAGCTGCAGCGTAGCTCTATCATGTAAGAAAACAGTGGGTAACTTAATCATTCACAATATTAAATCATGATAAAGAGCAGATTGAGCTTTAACTTAAAAGTGCTCAATAGATTGAAATGAAACTTGGCTGTTTGTAAGGTAGACTATAAATTAATTTCTATAGAATTTCATTGAAATTACCCCTGAAGTTTTACTATGTTGTATGCACAAAGCACAAACATTCAAATAATCTCTATATTGGTGTATAGTAACAATTCTCCACTGTTTTATTCTCTTCATTGGTTTATTACATCAATTATATGTATAGATTGTTAAACTACCCCAGTTAATACTGGGGTATGTCATTATACAATACCCATTTGAAGAATTATTAATCAGCTTCTTACTGTGTCCTACTGAAAAAGGCTTCACTTTACTTCTTCCATGTTCTGTGATATTATTCCATTTGTCATTGTGGTCAATGTCATATCGTCTTTGATCTGCACCTTCAACCAGGTGGTATCCAGAACTGAATTATAGTATTATATACCGAAAGCCCAATGAGCAATATTGGAATGGACTATTCAATTCAAAAATTTCATTTTACATATTTTGTAGAGTTTGATCATTTCCAAAGTTCAACATTTCTTAAATATCTAAATATGTAGTATAGAGCAATATCTATCTAAGTATGGCAATTATGTTTCCCAGAAAAGATGTATGTTACATACATCTTTAGCTAGCCAGAATTATATTCATAAAGTCATAGTCACAATCTAATTTATAAAATACTATGTTACAGAAGTGCAAGCAGTAAATGAATATGATAAATATCTGTGGACATTGGTACATGATCTTGGAATACAGCTAAAGACATCGGCGTATTGCACTGGCTTGCAGTGCATAAGACAGGGCAAGTTTGACTTGGAGTTGGCATTGCTAAGAAAACATTGGAAAATTGAGTATCTCATAGACAATATGGACAGATGCCGTCAGATACTTGAAGAGAATGAGACATTGTTGAAGCCAAAGTCTGCACAATTGTCTGTCTAGTGTCAAGAACTCTCTGTACAGTATTAAAGATCTTAAAATTTAATTTTCTAAGATCCGCATAACAAAATAAAATGATGTGTCTTACCTAGTTTGAAGAGCACTTCCCGCTCTTCCTTAATTGCGTACTTATCCTCTTCCCACACTAAGAAAGATACACCACTGTCGATAATATGACATATTATGTTTCACCTCTACACAAGGCATCCTCGGTTGAAGTAGAGACCTGAGGTGTTGGGTTTAGTGGTGACGGGGATAGTGAATGTAATTGAGGGCGGGAGACGCTCTGTAAACTGGTAAAGATACATTATTTTATTTTGTTTTGTGGATCTTAGCAAATTAATTTTTAAGCTCTTTAATATAATGGATTACGAACAAAGTAACACCCGATTCTATTAATTGTCTATACAGTGACTGTCTTGTTGAATGTATGTAGTTTGTAAATAAAAGTTGAATTCTTATATTTGTTTTATATGCCTCTTTCTATAATGTTTAAGAATGATATTACAAATATTAGCCGAAACTCATATATCAAATAACAAGTAAGTGCTTGTGCAAGCACTCAATATATTCCAATACTCCCGCTTCCATAGTCCAATAGGATGGCAATGTGACACATCAGGAGAGAGATTGCAAGGGATGGTGTAAAAAAGTTCATCACCCCATTTCATGAACATATAGAAAAGACCATGCGGGCTTAGACAAATAGATAAATGATTTAATTGATTCAACCAGGAAAAGATAACACTTTTTTGGTTATTGGAATCAAATAGTTGTGTATCACTTATTTTCATATGGTAGGGATGAAATACAGAATTGTTTTTCTGGGAAGTATCAATGCGTTCCATCCCAAATATATTGTGGTTAGCAAATTGGGATGAAATAGATCACTTTTTATTATCTTATTCTTGGTGGTACATCTGCATCTGCTGATCCGCACATCTCTTATGTTTCATAATATATGAATACACTTAAGATTAAATGTATAAGAATTCGACATATCTATCCTGGATGAACATTTGAAACTGCAAATCCCTTGTTATTAGCCAGTCCTATAATAAGGCTTAACGGAAAACCAGTATTGATCACATTAAGCAGCATACTTTCTGGCAGTAGAGCTGTCTTTGTGTCCGCTTTTAAAACCGATCGATTCACTAATATAAGTGCTAAAGAAAAAGCAGATTTGTTTTTATTTCTGCCTACAATTCTAATATATGCGGTGGCAAAAATGTACAACCTCAGTGGTTCCTCTATGTATATGGTCCACGTTACTAACAAGATCCCAAAAACATTGCAGACTCTAGACACAAGCAAAGCTAGTGGGTCAAATAGTATAACAACTACTAAAAGTTTGTGCAACTGAGTTGTATTCTGTGTTTACTAAAATTCCACCACTCATTTGTGAATGTCATAGTGCTCAAATTGTAGAAGTTGGCTAAAATGCAGTCTGTACCCTAAAAAGCCAGACAAGAATAGCTGTTAAGGCATTTCTTATAATAGAGGTCCAAGGTATAATAAATATAATATGTTTATTTTCAGTAATCTAGTTAAACAACATAATACTTCTTGTTGGGAATGAAAAAAAAGAGGAACAATGCACTATATAGAAGACTATTGCGTATTTTTTTATTTATATTTAGTAGGACCTAGATACGATACATCACTTAAATTTTATTTAACAACAACATTTAGTATTTCAAGCATTGTTGGGAGATGATGATGGAGTATTTGCCTGTTTCTCCAACTGCTCTATCCTCTTATGCCTTATCATATTAGACAAAATTCCATCAAAAGAAGTAGTTTTCTTCTTTGCAGAACCTCTTAATGTGTCTTCTCCTTCTCTACGAACACGCAAACGCAATGAACTGACTTCATCCATGAAATCAAAATCAGACTTTTCTTCTCTTATAGGAGACACAGGTATTTCAGGTTGGTTTTCCTTGCTAACTGGTACAGGAGATGGTGCTCGTCGGCCTGGGCATTTCCATTCTAAGGACAAAGTCCCTGTTTTTTCAATTGTTTTGTACAATTCTTCTAATTCTGTAGGATCAGGCATCCAACTTTTGCCAATGAATATTCCGGTCTTGGATAATTCATCGTCTGAGCATGGTAAATCCCATTCATCTCCTTGCACTTCTGATGCAGCCATAGTGATATTTGTCGTAGATCGGCTGTGGCATAACTACTTTACAATTGTCTAAAGTAAGCAGATTACTGTATATATACTAAAGATAAACAAGAAAAGAGGTGTTATCAAAGAGTTCAAATTGGTTGCAAGATTAGATAAATAAATATGTTTAGCGGCTCTAGCGAGATTGACAACTGACAACTAGGCTTGTACTTGGTTAAAAAATATCGAAATATCAATATTTTCTCACAAAGTTATCGATATTTATCGTCGATAGTTTTAATGGCAATATATAGATATTAAAGAGTATCGTATACGTATTAAATTCGATATATTTTAAAATGATCAGGGCGAGCGATGCGAGCCCTGCACTATCTTCCAATCTACAAATTTTTGTGGTACACTTTACTGCGAAATTATTATACTTTCACGGATTCATGTCTAGATGTGTTTTTTTTTTATTTACACACATACAACATACACAATCATTACAGGTGAACACAATAACGGCCGGTCTCAATTCCCTACCATCAGTTATAAGTAGATAGCTACCCAAGATAAACAGTTAAGTTTAAACTATCTGTAACTGTCGTCTCAATATCGTAATGTTCGAAAGCTTACTCGAGAAAAAAAGACAGATAGTTCATGATAACTTTGGTTAACGCGTCTCTCCTAAGCGTTTTGTTTTTGCTTCGAAGTGAATTGCGTCGCGTTCTACAATAAAATATTATGATTAATATAGAATGCTTTTAATTATTTTTGTTATTAGTTTTTAATATAATATTGACAATTATCCTTTATACACATTTCTAAATTAAGGCTTTCTTCAAATAATGACAAACTTTTATCTTACAATACGAAGCAACAAAACGCAGCGCTTGGCGTTGCTTGATTTGAAAATTGTTTTACAGTAATGTTACAAAAGCTTGGGTCTTTCTATATAGTTTGTGGATGATATGCTTACCATAGAGATATATACCTATGGAGGGGGCATATTTCACTATAGAAATAATAGTTATACAAATATCTATAATATCGACACAAACTTGTTAAAAACAGTTTTGTCTCTTTTTAACAAAGCAGTAGCTGCGATAGAAAAGAGAGACATCTACAGTTTGTAAAGTGCTTATTTTGGTAATACTTTCGTGTGACATCATTAGCACATCCTTGCGTGACTGCGCCGCCATGTTTAAGCGCCAAGTTTTGAGGTAGATCTGCTGTCAAACTGTCAAAAAAGCAGTCCAATAGTGTCGTACACTCTTATCCATGGTGTCGATAGAAATTATTTTAATAAATTAATTTTGTTCAGAAATGAATATATAATAATAATTATAGTTTATAAACCCTGGATATCATATTTCATCTACCGTTTCATGAACATGCCAGATTTTCGAATTTTAAACGAACAAAATTAATGTACCTGCGAAAATAATAATATTTTTCATTTAAAATTTGAATAAAGAAATTAAATATGATATCCGGCAGGACCGAACATGCGTATATAACGTACCATTTGTGATCAATAATGTGTAGAACGTTCCTATATACACCAATTAATAATAAATAAGTATTGATTTTAAAAATAGTTTATTTAATTTTTACTCAACTAATCATTATTATTTTGTATTAAAAATATTATAATATGGGATTACAATATGGAATCAAGGATCTCCATCCCATCTCCATACATTTGTTTACTGTACAATAGTATTGTACAGTAAACAAAGGTATTTGGTATACAAGCAAAAATATTCATTTTTCCACTACTCTGTCAATATTAATTTTTATTGTATAACTTTTAACCTTGTTCACATTGATATAAAACAAAACGTGAGTGTGTACTTATGTACGTACGTAAGAAGTTATATTTCTATAGCGTAACAAAACAAACATAACTAAAATAAAACATGTTTTATACATTTATATATATTTGAATAAACTACCTCGAATAAAGTTATCAGTTCTCAGGAAAACTTAACAATTGACAGACAATTACCAATTGAAGTTGTAAAAAATTCACTCTCATCATTTTTCTCAAACGCGCCAAAAGAAGTATAACTTCAAAACTTGAGTAAGCACTTAGCACACTCAGAACATTGTTTAAAACAAGTTGCACGTTAGCTGCCTGCATACTTAACTCATTGTTTGACCGTGTACCTAACATAAAAAATCTGTAGCAGAGTGTGCATTGCGTAAGTGTACACATGCGGTGAAGCCTTGTGAAGCAGCTTAAGCGAAATTTAAGGGATAGCAATCTAAAACTAATTTAACAACTCTACAATATCCATTGCTTCATGTAATTGAAAAATTCGTTTGCTCGACAACAAAAACCACGCAATGAATGTTGTTAAACTGTCAAATTGGTATTGTTTGCCATTTAAGGTGTGCTGCGCTATTAGGCTATGGATTTAATTTCTATAATTATATGAAATAAGAACAAACTCATATTAGTAAAAATATCGATATCAGCTGACCATATTGCTGAGTTACAACCCTATAAAAGGCGGCCATTTTGCGCGCCAGCTTTGTTTAGGTAGTCACGCTAATTCTTTTGGTATGCCCAGTCCATATACTTCTAAGTCAGTGATGCTTACGCACTAATTGATGATTGTTGTTTGTGGTAGGGATGATCGATCTTGCAGAAACATCGATGATGACATCGATGTTGACATCGATAGCTCAACATCGATGTTCAATGATTAGCCTACTCAAAACATCGATGTTGACCATTATCGATGTTTTTGTATATATGTAAATACTTACATATTGTTTCAAAATTATGTAGGTATACACAGCAAGGGAAAAAGTAACAATTAACTTGAATATCAATTTACGTAGAATTTTAAATTTTAAATCTTCAGAGAAGATGTATGATTTAGTTGATATTGATTTCGCGAGTTCGCATTGTTCGCAAGTTCCTAATAATCGATTTTGGGTTCATTGACATCGATGTTTTGAAAAATTAAAACATCAATGTTAAAATATCGATGTTTTAATTTTTAACATCGAACATCCCTAGTTTGTGGTTGTTGTAAGTTGTAACAAAAATCAAAAACAGAGTTTTGGCGGGAAATTGACCGGCGGCGGTTTGTTGCTCCTGTATTATTGTTTAAATAATGGTTTGAAGTGGACTTTGATATGTAAAAGTGTTGCGATTTTGTGTATTAAGTGTCTACGCATGTGAACTATTAGTGGAAACAGTGAAAAAAGTGCTCTGATGGTGATGGATTCTCAAGATAAGCTGTTTGTTTGCATAGGCACCTTTAGATACCATCGCCAACTATCAGCTGTCTGCTGGATCAAGTTGCCGCCAAAATCTCCCAAGAACTGCACAATGTGACGCATCAACATATTGTGAAGCAGTATACTATGAAGGAGTGGGGAAATTACAATAAACCGAATAAAAATACTTAAGACTTGGCCTAAAGGTCTAGATACCAGGCCATAAACTCCAAAAAAAATCAAAAACAATAGGGAGGGAAAAACTACGGATGTGACATTGAGTGAAAAAATCGATTAATAAAATCGATTTTTTGCTTTGTGATAGTAATCGATTTAAGAAAAATCGAAATTTATAAAAAAAAAATCGTTTTTGCGAAAAAATATTTTATTGGAAAAATAATCTTCTGGTTTTAGAAATAAACTACAGAACAATTTTTTTAACATAACTTTGAACAATAAAAAACTAAAAATAATTACTGCCACAAATGTTCAGTGCCATTTAACAATTTATTACAACCAAAATAAACAGAAACGATAAATTAAACTAACTTTTACGGATTTTATCGCGTTTAATTTAACTCTTTAATTCCCGACATTTCAGGGGCTTTACAGCACGCATGGTCACAGAGGGGACTGAGGTGTTTGACGTCCCTATGTCATAGTTGAACCACAAATCCTCGCAAAAGAACACCGATTCCTACCAAGGATGATTCGCGAGGCTATCGAAATTAAAAAAACATCCTAATTTCAATAGAGAAGATGGATGGGTGCTGCCATCTACTTGGCATCCTATAATTAATAAAATTAAATCCAAACCCAAGCATACCGCTGTAAGACTTCATGATACTGTAAGCTCATTCTGCGTAGATCGGACCAAAAATTAATATTCAAAAACTGAATTTAGCCAGGCTAACTATGACATCTGGACGTCAAAGACCTCAGTTCCCCCCGTGACCATGGGTGCTGTGAAGCACCCGAAACGTCAGGAATTAAAAAGTTAAGTTAAGCGTGATCAAATCCGTAAAAATTAATTTCATTTAATGTGTAGTCTTCGCGTAAATATAAGAAATCATAAAGAAACCATAATTTTAGTAAACGATAGCTTTTTTTTAAACTATTTGAACAAACAAAAAGTCTAAATATCATTATGCCACTAATGTTCAGTATCATTTTACATTGGATTGGAATAAAAATAAAATAAAATTATAATTATAAATAATCCGACGACAACCTTTTGATCTCAAAACTAAAATACAAGACAAATCTTTTTTTAAACTTGTGTAAACAAAAAAAGTAAAAAAAATATTGCCATGAATTTTCAGTTAAAGACTTTAAAAACAATCAAAATTTCAACAAACAAAATTCTTCTTCGTCTCTTTCCCAAAATACGGTTTCGTTTATTCCTAACAATATTTCCCGCTTTCAAAAATAATCTTTCGGCTGGCGCGGAACTGGCCATCACTGAGAGGTGTTTAAAAGCCAATTCGGTTAGTTTAGGGAAAGTTCCTTCAGAGCTTCTCCATATATTGAGGGCATCTGGCTTGAGATTTGATAGTGGTGCCGCAATATATAGATCCAATTCAGTATTTTTGCCTATAGACGTGTTGGCCTCTATCATTTTTTCATTATAAAATACTTCTGTCAGTCACTTACGCGTTTCACAAGACATTTTTATTGTTTATATATAATTGTTTACACTAACCAAAGAAAGAAAGAAAACCACAGAATACTTTTACTCCTCCTTGGTCTTCAGACTGCCGATAGTTGTATGCCATATTTTATTAAACATAGAATTCTTACACTTCCGTCCTTATACATATTGAACATGGCTCTCTTTGTCAGGGCCAATCCTAACCTATTTCCACGGTTGTCTGACAAAGTAAAGCGCAACCGTCGTGATGGAAGTAAATTGTGCTTGCAATAAGCAAGAACGGCTCTGCTAAGAAAGAGTGTAGTATGCATGGCTCCTAAAATCTATAATAAAATTCCTCAGATGTATAAATCACTGAACAGCAATCTTTTTAAAAATAAATTCAAAAATCTTTTAATTGAAAAATGCTACTACACTCTAACTGACTTTCTTAATGATAAATTTTGACATTATATAATTGCCTTATACATACATATACTTTTAATTATAATTGTTGTAAGTAATAATTTCACTGACTTTGTATATTAATAGACTGCTAATGTTAAATGAAAACTAATAACCTAACACTTTAAATTTTACACACCGAATATCGGTAAGACATGTTGATACTAATAACACTAACACCAAGAATATATATCTGCCCTCACACATGTTTTAGTAAATAAAATATCTTATCTTATCTTATCTAGCGGAGGAAGAAACCTGTTGAAAACATACGAAAAGCGAAACTGTTTTACATACATAGAGATACATAAAGGTGGCGCCGTCTTTTGATAGACTTATTCATGTTATTGAACTTACTTCACGTTTTTACATCCATCGCACAGATGACTCTGATAATAAAAATCGATTGAAACGCGTAATTTACATAAAAATCGATTTATTAAAAATCGATTTTTATTATAAAAAAAAATCGACTTCGAAAAATCGATTATATGAAAAAAATAATCGATTAATATGAAAATCGATTATTTTTTCACATCCCTAGGAAAAACATGGTCTAAGTTGGTCTAAATAAACTGCAAAGTATTTATTTATTATTGTTTTTATCATTTCGTTGTATAATATTTAACTGTTAAATATAAATGAGCGATCATATCTAAAATTTAGCATAAGCGAGTCTTAGAGAATCACGAGGAGATAAAATAGTCAATAAAAATAACCAAGTTTCTTCAACTTTCTAGTTTATAAATCATTACATACATTTAAAAATTCAATCAACACAGTCATTTGTGATAAAGAATAAATATGTCATCTTCAGACAGCGAATCAGAAAACGAAAAAGAAATTCCAGCGAGGTAAATTTATTTCATGATTCATTAATAGTTTTCGGGTTATGTCAGTACCTACTTTTTTCACACATTTTATAGTGTTATAATTTTATTCCTCCCGAGGGTCGTCCATGGTTGCCGCAAAGCAATCAAAACTCGGAAATTAAAAATAAGTAAAAATTAAACACATTAAAATCTACAATCATTTTTAAATTTGTTGATCTAGTAAGACTTTCAGATGTATAAAATAAATTTAAAATTTATTAATGCTCATTCAATTAAACAGACTCGGCGATTGTGAGGTTTGTGGGGCGCAAAAAGCTATTTACACCTGTCCTAAATGTGAAGTTAAAACTTGTTGTTTATCCTGTGTTCAAATACACAAGAAAGAGTTGGAATGTGATGGCATCCGTGACAAAACGAAGTTCATCAGGATGAAAGATTTTACTGACACAGATTTATTAAGTGATTACCGGATGTTAGAAGAATGTGCACGGTTTGTTTATGCAGTTAAGAGAAACGAGAAAAAGAAATTTACTAGAATTGACAAAGACTTACCAATTGTGAGTGTAAAAAAACTTGATTTAACAATAGAATAGAATAGAATAATTTTTTATTTAATATAGATCACATGTGTAATTCTTATTGAGTCATTTTTTACTTTACCACTGGTTTGAAAAAATCCCTTAGTCCTGGGAAGAACCAGCAAGAAACCCAGCGGGACCTTTTTTCAAATAAAAGAAGTAAATTTTACATGAATGGTTGTACAAACTATTTACAAAATTTATTTTAGAAACAGCTTGGAAGCGACCACCTCATTCCCAGAGGTTATTATCAACTATGTATTAATTTATATTATAATAATCCTTTTTATACAGTTTTAGTTTAATGAAATTTTTAAACTTGGTAATAGAGATAACTTGTATATTTTCTGGGACTTTGTAGTAATAGCGTATACATTGCCCCAATAATGAATTGCTGACTCTGTGTAGTCAAGAAACTGGTATCACTAGCTTGTGTTTGTTCCTAGTGTTTACAGATGGTATATCATTTTTTTTTTTACTAAAACTACCTTTTGTTTTTGTCAACACATAAAATTTTCGTAAATATACTGAGGTCTCGGTTTTAGGTTGTAAATAGCTCTAATGGCCTTCTGTAAAACAAAAATAGTTACTAAATCAGCCTCATTTCCCCATAGCAAAATCACATAAGACATTATGCTATGGAAATAACTTAAATAAACTATTCTAGCTGTCCCGTCACTAGTGAGTCTAACTAGTCTCTAATCTTTTTTACAGCATAGGCCACGGAACTTAGTCTGCATGCTTGTTTGGATATATGGGGGCACCACTGAAGCTTTGTGTCGAGAGTGATGCCAAGAAAAACAGTGGATTCAACAAGGCTCAGTTCTTGCCCATTTAAAAACATATTGGTATTAAAAATTTTAACATTAGATGTTGTAAATTTTATTTCCTTTTAAATGTAGATTATTATTGTTAAATTAATGCACTAATTTTGATATAGAGTTATTCACTGTCACATTTATATGATTGGTGTTTAAGTTAAAAAATCAAGGAAGTATCATCAGCAAATATAACTATATCAAGATTATCCCCTACAAGGGAAGGTAAGTCATTAATATACACTAGAAATAGGAATGGGCCGAGAATTGAGCCCTGAGGGACACCCATTAGTACAGGTGACAATAAATTAATGCCATGTAGTGAAAGCATTAAATATCCATTGCTCCATGGCTGTAGTAAGTGGTAACAAAGGGAAACTAAAATAGAAGATGGGCAGCAGCAGCATTTTCCTGAATACCTCCCAGTTCCCCTGTGGTATTCGGGTTCAGCACAGCACACATTCATGAGTTTTGCCACCATCAGTTCCTTGTTAGAGCCTTGTTTTAAAAGTAAGATCAACCATGTGTTGATCTTACTTTTAAAACAAGGCTCTAACAAAAAATCTCTAAATATATATTATAAAGTGATAAAATTTGATTAAATTTAATTTTAGCAAGTGATAAAATTTGATTAAATTTAATTTTAGCAAGTGATAAAATTTGATTAAATTTAATTTTAGCATTTGTTCAAATTAAAAATGGCTGCAAGAAAAAGAGGAACTGTATTACAGTTTCTGGCTCAAAACTTTTCAAGACACATGGTAAACACAACGAGATATAATTATAAAACTAATGTCATATCATGGAGAGTAGAATGGATATTCCCTAATGTGGACACAAAGCCATTGAAGTTTGTGGATGAAAAATGTTTGGAACATAATAAATTGTCAGGGTTGCTAGATAAATACCTTAATCCAAATGCAACACCTTTTGAAGGATCGAAAACATTACTTTTCTATAGATCTGTTGGATTTAGTGGTGTAAAGATTTTATTAAAAGGTATGTTTTTTTGATCTATTTATGAACTCTTTATCACATTATCACTTGCAGAATATAATACATAAAAGCACACAATTAGTGCTACTATACCTTTATAAATAAATCTAACTTTTTGTAATGTTTTAGCTGAAAAAATTAGAGGTTCTGCTAATAAGTTTTTTGAACTGGACCCAACTGAAACTTTGGGAGAAAATCTATCTGGAAAATGTATTGTGGAATTCCCAATAATATTTATTGTTCTCAAAGATCATGCTTATAATTTTGAAATTATAACACCAGGTAATTTGATGATAACAAGAAGTTTTGGCTAATATTATTTTGTTAGTAATTTTTTTCTTGATGTTACATGGTAGAGCCATGTTGTAGCTATATTATGGTAGTAGCACAAATGGGTCGGCTCAACCGGAGTGAGACTACGCTCTCATAGAATACCTGTGTAAAATAGCAGCTTAATGCTGCTGTGCTTTGTATGGTGAGTGGAGAACCAGAGACCCCTTTTACTGGAAATGAGGCATTCGGTCTACATTTTCATTCTTGATCAAGGATAAATGCAGATGTCTATGGGCTACAGCACCCGCTTACCTTCAGGCGAACTGTGTGCTTGTTAGTCACATCTTATTATATAAAAAACCAAACCAAAATTTTATTTACAGAAGATGAGTTTGATTATAAAAATGATGACAAAACAGAAATTGATGATAAAAATAGCACTATAGATAGCAACAAAGATGATCATTCCTTAGAAAATGGTAACTCAAACAATGAAAACTTTAGTCAAAACTACCAAGAGCAAAGAAAAAGGCCAAGGCAGTTGTTAACCGAAAAAATAGCCAAACAAAAGAAAATGGCAATTGAGAAAGAATTGAAAGAAGAAAGAAAGAGGCGACCTAAAAACCTTTTATTTACAACAGGCTACTCTTCAGAAGAAAGTATAGTTAGTAGTGACACAGAAGGCGAAAATACTGAAAATAAATAACTCATAAGAAGGTAATTTATTCATTGTATATGTGTTACAATTAAAGTATTTTCAGTCATAACAAATAAATAATCATTAGTAGCATTGATTCCTAATACTTCCCCATACTTGTCTATATTTAAAACATACTGTTGTCCAATTTTCACATTTTTCATATACCCTTCAGTGCGTTTCCTTAACTGACATTCTTGATTGCCAGAATTTTTATAGACGAAAATGTGCTTGGAAGCTTCACATACTACACCATATGTAAAATTTGGTGGACAGGTAACAAATTTACGATTCTGTTTTGAAGACTGCACATATCCAAAAGCAAGTAGAGTTCCTTGGTGTTTTACAGGCCATGTTTCAGAGTTTATCAAATGAGCATAGGGTTGCCAGATGCATGCATCCACATCGTGTCTCAGAGCCAATGCAGGAACTTCATGTGTTTCAAGTTTAATGTTAAACAAGAATTGATGAACACTTAATGAAATTCGATGAGTGATTTCATGATTATTTAAATCCATGCGAACTGTAAACAAAATAAAAGAAAACATAAATGATATTGCCACAAGTGAAAGTATATATATTACTTGATTAAAAAATTGTCTCTTTACATTCAATAAACAAAATTGTTGATACTATATTATCATTTCCAATCCAATGTCTTCTAATGTTATATTTTCAAGTTGGAGTTAAAATGATATGAGGGATATGATTTGAGTCTGTCCTCAGTGAAATAGGTTTCATAATCTTCATTTAAATAGATATGCTGCCTTACTATACAAACTTCAACATCTCATTTTACTGTAAGTAAATCTGGTACTTCTAGTTCCTAAAGCAGAATATGTGTAATTCATTAATACATATTCTGTATAACATGAAGGATATGTAAGTGGTCTATAGAACTAAGGCCTTAACAAAACTGTCTTTGGAAAACTATAATAAGTCTGTGTGATTCCATATGACTTGAAAATATAATGACAAGTTTTACTGTAATTACTTTCTATACATTTCCTTATCATAAAATGTACTCACCTAACACAGTATCTTCTTCTGATGCAGCATCACATTCCTCTAATTCTTGTGTGGAAAGTCCGGGCGCAGATTGGTCAGCTGTTACTTCTGTTTCAGAACACAAGTGAGCAAGTCTTCTATGAGCTTCTTCCACTAGACTTGCATCCAGAATCTGTTCTCCATTTCTGTCTCCACCTTCTAGTAGCTCATCCCATATCATGCTTTCACATTTAGTAATTAATACATCAACTTGTCCATTCTCTTGCAAATTCCATGTTGTGAGCTCACTCTCAACTTTATGCCTTAACTTTCCTTCTAGAAATATTTTACCAGCATAACTTACTTTTATAGATATGGGTGTAACACTAACACAAAGTAGTTTTTTATCAAAGTTTGCTTGAAGTTTCAATGTTATTGTTATATCTTCCGTTGTTTGAAGCCATGTATATATTATTTGCCTAGGCAGCTCTTCAGTTTTTTCTGAAATCTCTATTTCAGAATCGGAAACAAATTTAAAAGGGTTATCAGAAGCTACATATATGGCTGAGCAACTAGTTTCCATTGCAGCATAATGAACAATGCCTTTTCCTTGTAATTGTCTTAAGTTTGCTTGTATCCAATTTTGTCCATCATTTTGAAAAGTAACCCATGTTAATATTGAGTCAAAATGTTTTTCATTCTGTTCCACTGATTGTAAAAGACAGTGTACCAGTTCAAAATTGTCTTTTTCCTGAGATCTAGAATCTACTACTATAAAATATTTATTTTCACCAAGCACTAAACTTGAATGTAATGTTTGCCACACTTTTATCTCTTCAGTAGGTTTATTTCTTGTACTAGTTTCAACTATATGTAGATAACCCGTACCATCACTGACCACAGCTAAGTTAGGCGAAGGGAAAGTTAAGCAGAGATTAAAATGTCCTGATTTTCTTTCAGTGTGGGCTGGAATGTCATAAACAACTGTATTTTGAAATGTGTGGTTTATACTATCAAAACTAATTTTCCGTACTTGCAGTTTCTTATCAATGTAATAGTAGGCGTAAGAATAATCCCAATTATCAAGTACCAGATGATTATGTAGGGCAAATAACTTTGCATGCACAAAAGAGTATTGTATTTCATCAGGATACACTTTATCTACAGGAACGCTTAAATCATAAGTGAACTGTGGCAGAGCTTGTAGGTTTAACTTATACCCTTCGAATTCGTGATTCAAAAGACGCCGGTCAGGCCGCAGTTCTACCAATGACGGAGACATCGATGCACTCACTTATGTCTAATGTTGAATGTACTTTGTACTCTGTGGTGATAACAGAACACTTTTCTCTCGATCGTCTTTTACCGTCTTACAAAAAGTAGTTTATAAGCAGTCTCAGTCATAAACTAGAATCTGTTCACGAAAGAAAGTCATGCGAAAATATTATACTAGTAATTCTTTTTGATTAACAGATTGAGGAAATATGACTTATAATATGCGAATTGTGAACAAAAATGTAATTTATGAAGTATTTATCAATTAACTCTACTTTTTGACGAGAGTCAAGTATAACTATGGAATTTGACCACAGACAGACTACTAAGAGGATAATTCCTGATGTATTACTTTTCTCTATGGAGGATAATTTGATACCGTTTCACACTTTGCTCGCAGAACACCTTTGACTTTGACAGTGGCAGCCATAGACAAATAAATATGATGGCAGCTATAAAAACATTTTTAATTAATAAAATAATTTTTGTGGCTAAAGACAGCACAGCATACCATAGACTTGGATAATTTTATTGTTGTTACCAGTTGCCAATGAGGGCAAACCAGTGCTGCCAGATCAAAAAACTCATTCAGCGCTAGGACAACACGAAAAGCGCTAGATTTCATGAAAACAGCGCTTTAAAAAAGCCCTAGATTTCGCGCTAAATTAACTACGAACAAAGTTTGTGTTTTTTATTATAATTTATAATTCAAGAAAATATAACCATAATAAAAAAAGAGCATTAAGTTTTTTTACAGCAATATTTTTTTGATGTATCAATACTTAGCAGGACATCGACTTATAATTATGGCAATTGCTGTCAACAGTAGTTAGTACTGTATGAACAATTAAAATGTCATTAATTGTTTTAAAGTGCAATGTATTTCGCAACTTAGTTTCAGATGTCAGCATCTGATTGCGGATGCTACACAGTTTCTTTGTGTTGTAACTTCTAAGCAACTTTTAACTTAGCTGTGCTCTAAACAACTGACTGAAACTGAATAAAGCAAAATAAATGCATTGCTAAAACCATGAACGAAAACTTTAATAAAGGGGATTTCTCCGCTTAAAGTCGTCGGTAAAAAAATCAAGTTGATCATCCTAAAGGGGGAGCCGGGAGATCCATAGCATAGGGTATCCTAGTTTCGATTCGTCTCCCATGCTCTTTGTTTTGTGGAAAAAATATGATTGAAAAAGATAAACTGCAATGTACTATTTGTGGGAAAAAATAATAAAGTTCATTATTATTATTATCGGTAATGTGGACTAACAGTGCTGCTATAAAAGTGTTAGATAACCCGCTAGTCGCTACAATTTCGAAATGTGTGCTAAATACACCAAAAAGCGCTGGATTAAGCGCTAGGTGCTAAAATTTCGAAATGCGCGCTATACATTCCAAAAAGGCGCTAGATCTAGTTCCCAAAGCGCTAAAATGGCAGCACTGGGGCAAACGGTTTGAGCGGAAGATTATTAGCCCTCTTCAGAGGGTTAATAATCTTCCTCTTTAGAGGGCTAATAATCGTCACAACGGACTTTCCGTGGTTACTTAGGGTTGTCAATAAAGAGTAAAAAAAATACATAGCGAAATTATGAGTAAGTTACTCAGGTAAGGTACCTATTCTGACTTTCACCGACTGACCAAATTTTCACTGGTATTCGATGGCACCGTGGCGCAGTGGCTTAGCAATGCGTCGCAGCGCTAAGGGCCGCGGGTTCAAATCCCACACGTAACAAGTAATTGTATGGCGTATGGCCTACAAATAATTATTCCGGGCCTGGATGTTTATCCTTGTGAAATTTACGTATGTAAACTGCCGCTGCCGTACAGGAGAAAATCCTAGTATGAAAGAAACGTTTAAAAAAATTACATTAACAAGGCTGTATAGATTATGATCCTATGTATTACCAACCGACTGTCATTTTCATGTCAACAAAGTTAGCAAATAGGTCTGCTGGTGGCCTGTAAGTTTGTTGGGCACTTCAGATTTATAAAAGAACTAGCGATCCTCCTTGTTTTCGCACGGATGTTTTTTGGATTTCGACAACTGCAACGCCTACCTGGTGCAATTATGAATCTCAACCATCCAGGGACCCGCTTAAACACATAAAAAATCATCTAAATCGGTGCACTCATTTAGAAGTTCAGTGAGAAACACATACAGAAGAATTATATAAAGTTAGTAACAAATTGCTGAATTGCAAAACAACCATTACAACCTATTATTTTTTTATATGTGAAGGGGCAAACGAGCCTGCGGCTCACCTGATGGTATGGCAACACTAGGGGAATTGCAAATGCGTTACCACCCTTTTAAAAAAGAATACGATCTTTTCTTGAAGGTCCCTAAGTGGCATCGGTCTGGAAAAATCGCTGGTGGCATTCGATTCTACACGGAAGTTATGCGTGGAATAAAACTTCTTGTACATCCTACAGTGGTGAACCGCTAATCATCCAGATGGTATGGATGGTATCTCAAGTTTTGTCGTGATGTGCTATGGTGAAATTGAGTGGCTGGAATTAGTCCGAACAATTCCTCAGAGCGCTCCCCTGGTAGATGCGATAGAACACGCAAAGAGATGCAACATCTCTTGCAGCGTTAGTGAGTCAAGCCGATCGGAAAGAACTGGTCTGTTGGCGATTCGAACCGATGTGTGGTCAAATGAAAGTAGCTGGCACTGGAGAGCCCCGTCCCAGAGATGGGAACAGCGTTCCACGTGACTGAACCTGCGCCTTATAAAGTTGTAGGCGGTGTGCCTTCTTGAAATACTGTACCGCATTGCTGAGCACGCCAAGCTTTTTAGAGGTCAATTTGGCCTTCTCTTCCAAGTGATCACAAAACTACACGTCATTCGACATGTCGACGCCAAGGATTCCGATACTGGCTGAGGCACGGGATATAAAAATAAAGAGGAAGCCCAAAGTGGGCGGAGCAGGCGAGTCAGAATTAGTGACAGCAGAGCGTAATTGACTGTCAGTCGCAGGCTCAAATTGTTGCGAGCTGACGGATCGCTGCTTAAGTGATATATGCGAAAATATGCCGTTTTGGGCAATATTAGAGTGTAAAAACGAAAGTAAAAAGAAAAATATTTTGAATGGAGGTGTTTCGTACCAAAGGCACGTGTAATTTTTTTCTTATTTGGATAGAAACGACTAAAAATGGGCTAAATATCAAATTGCCTTTATTACAAATAAAGAGATTTAAAATATATATATATATATATATATATATATATATATATATATATATATATATATATATATTTTAAATCTAATACTATAGAGCGGCATTAGGAACATTTATATGCAAAAACTTTAATCTAGTGCGCGTGTGACTCCCTCTAGCTAAAAATAGCAAAACAACGCTAAGCATTTATTAACCCAACATTTTAGCTATTCCCCGGTAGGTGACGCTAATCAATATAACGCCGTTTTAGGAATGTTACCGGTTCGGTATCAAAGTATCGATAATATTGTTGAAGATTACCAAGTTTGAAATCCTTTTCGATATAATAATAGGGAATATACATGATTGTTTTATTGTATAAATCTATTTATCATGAATTCTATCACACGAAAAAAATTATATTAACTTTTTACGCCCCTTTAGTGTCATGAAATAAAATATTTAATTTCCAATAACTAAGAATCAATGCAAACAGCAGTCACTTTGGTTGCCACCTTGGTGGCATCTTGGATGACGTCACTCGGTCCATTAGATGCTCTAATAATAGCATATGATTGGTCGGTCGGCGTTAAAGACACATCGAGAAACGCTAAATCCAATAAAAGAGCGCCTCTATGTTTTTAAATTCGTTTTTTTTTTACAAAAATACTCTTCAAATCTAAAATATTTTAGGAAAACACTGAACTTAAAAGCCGTTTCACGTTTTTTTTTTTCACGTTTCATTAGCTGCAGTACATAAAGACACTACCCACATCAATAAAAATTGTTATTTTAAGTTTTTACCTTATTTTCTAACTTAGGCTTAACCTACAACTTCTTGCATCTAATATCTTTAACAGTACAAATTGTTTTCAATGTAACAGACCTCTCTTATCACTGTAAGCCAGGATCTATAATGGCTTTGTCCTTGAAAACCACCAGACAATGAAACCTGGTATGTAAAAGAGAAGACTTGCTGTATTGCTAAACATCAACACAGCAAGTGTCCTCAGCATGCTCATAACAACAAAAACTCATGCAACAAAAAAAAAATCTCTTCAGCAGGCCTAAAAAAAATTTCCCACCCTTGCTCCACATAAAGTAAGCTACTTAGCATAGTTGGTATATGTTACTCATTTTTGTTGGTATGGGTACAGTATCTTTGACTGTTTTACCGGCATAAATATTGTAAAGGATTAAATCGGCATCCTGTATATTTTTTATCGATAACGCCAATCGATAAACGTCGTCAATAGATAGTACTCATAGCCCGTAAAGAGGTATCTTTACGGGCTATGAGTACTAAGCCAACAAATACGCGAACTTCAGATATAATGGTAAGCTACATAAAAGATACTGGCACAAGTCGATGTTATACTTACGATAATCTGTTATAGGTGCAATGAGAGCGGTCATGTTGCACCTAATTGTAAGCTTCCTGAAAAGAGGAAATGTTTTAGATGTTGAAAAGTGCGCCACGTTGCGAATCATTCTACATCTACGCCGACCGGCTACATAGCGACTGCTGAACAAGAAAAAAAGATTCAAATTATGTCACAATTAAATGATGCATATAAAAAGACTGCACGAGTAAATGGGGTATTTATGAGAGCATATTTGGACACAGGTAGTGAATTAAATGTAATGGCGCATGATGCTGCGAAAGCGACCAAATTAGAGATAAAACCCACGAATATTATATTAAAAGTATTCACTGGACAAGCACGAGCTAGAGGAGAAGTCCGATTTACCCTTTCTGTCGATGACGTTGAAATGGAAACGACTGCAGTTATTGCTAATATTGATTTTGGAAATGTTGCACTTATAATAGGGCAACCTATTAT